AGCTCCCCCCGCCTAGGGTGACCATATTCCTCAATGTAGGAAACGGGACATCCCAGCAGGACGGGGGGGGGGGGGGGGGGGGGGGGGGAGTAAATTTAATAAAATAATTGCCCCCATTTCAAAACGTTACCATATTGCACTAAGCCCTAGGGTCTAGGGAACAGTCACACTGCTTCGCGTCCTTCGTTGGTGTGGGCGTATTTTGCCAACGGCTGAAGTTTCCTAAGCAGGGCTTTATCCTGCAAGACTCGGTTGAGAAAGTCTGCGCAATTATATAGAAAAAATAAACTAAAAAATCATGTCTCGAAAACGGGACATGATTCTTTATTGGGACAAAAAGACGGGACGGCAGAAGCGGACCTCAAAAACGGGACTGTCCCGGCCAAAATGGGACGTCTGGTCACCCTACCCCCGCCGTACAAGGAGCTCACACAAGAGGAGGCTGTTGTCTGGCGGCAACTACAAACCAACACATATCAACACCTAAGTCTACTTCACCGATGGTACCCCGAACAATACAACAAAGAATGCCCATTCTGCGGCACGTACGCCAACCTATACCACACTGTATGGGCATGCCAACGAAACCCCGCGATCCCCCATATCCCACACCCCACCCCTTCCCAATGGGAGGCCTGCTGCTCAGCTCCAGCCTGGATGACCAGCGTAAGCTGGTGGACCGGGCCCGCTCGGCGGCGAAGGCCACAGGAGCCCTGGACTAAGGGCCCCTCCCCCACTTCAGAAAACTGAATAAGTAAAGTTTATTCTCTCTCTCCCCTATTACGTCCAAGCTGATTACATTTTTTTGTGATTATATTTATATTACGTTACTAGAGCCTCGCACACTAACTCCCGAGTGTGCGATGCAAAATTAAAATGAGATACCCAGAAACCCGTTGCAGGTGCCCTGAAGTCGCTGACGCAAATTTTGAGGAATATATTTGGAAAAGTATTTGGAGGAGACCAAATACATTTGGTTGTATTTGTATCTTGTACTTAAATGCTTTTTTTGTAAATGTAATTAGATTTGTAATTAAATACATTTTTGACAAAGTATTTTGCACTTGTATTTCGATACATATTTGCATGCATCTTGCCCATCCCTGAACAGCCATTTGGACATGCCCAGCATGATAATTAGGGCACTTCTGTTAGGACAAACATCTGATAAGTCAAACAAATTTTCAGGGTCCCTTCGTGTTCGTCTAAAAAGGAGTCTACTGTTGTTCACACTAGACAACTTCTTGACCTGATGAAGAAACTGAATTTTGTTTTGCGTTGTCATGTGCTGTTTAAACAGCCCACAAACAGTGAACATTTTTGAGGGGTAAACAAACTTGTGTCATACGTTTCACAAACGTTTCATGTGTAGCATACCTGGTTATGATCAGTAGGCCTATGTAAAGGAAAGCATCAAATATCTTCTGTGTATGTGTAGCCATTCCTATGGCAAATCATAATTTTATTTTGCATCATATTTAGATAAATTTCTGATAATTGAAACAAAATTCATAGCTTCCTAAAGCTTGAATTAATGACTAATGTATTTTGTAATAGTGGTGTACTAGAAACACAATAACCTTTGTCTTGTTTGCATTGCACAACACCTTTTTAAGGTATACCTTCTAGCATTTCAGAAGTGTACCAGCCTAAGACTGCCATTATTTCCCTTTCCCGAACCTTCGAGACTCGGTCAACATTGCTTCGCGATGTTCAGAAGTCTGCGTCGCCCTCCCCTTGAACATGTCAGCTCATAAGCACCATCATTTTAATCTTGCAGCTCACAAGAGTAGATTGTGATCTTATATCATCACATAATCACCATCACTAGATGTGACGTCGCAGGCATACCTTGTACGGGCTCTTGCCTTTCTGCAGTGCCGTGGCTCTCCTGATCCAATAATTAATATTATTACTATTATTTATATCATTATTATTATCATCATCTATAAGTGCAGTGGCCTTTCATTGAAATGCCTACCTTGACCTTAACCTAAAGTAACATGGCTCAAAGTTTTAGAGTTCTTGGATGTGCACGGTTCCTTCCTGCTCTGGAGAACACACCAGAAAGTTTCTTTGAGTGGCCCGGTATTTTGTACTTGCGAACCCTAGATATGATTATGAATACAATGTTAGCTTTGCTAGTAGAACCCCCAAATGTGTAAACTCAAAAGGCTAGACTTGTCCGCGTCAAATGACACATCATGCATTCCAGTATGTTCATAGAAACAGCAGTAACATGACAGCTCACTGGTGGGTGTCGATGCCCCCTTCTATGTCCAGAGGATTGGGGCTCGTGGTGCCCACGACCGCCAGCGCAGCTTCAGCCAGCGGTGCGAGTCGGTGGTTGTTACACCCTGCGTCTGTGGAAGATAAGGTTCTTTTTATATTTTGTTTAGGCATTGAATTTTTTCTGATTGCAGCAAGTGCACTCATTGTTTTGATTTGGTTGTATTAACAGGTTGAAATCATGATTACTTCTATAATTTAGCCAAGAAAATGAGAAAGTAAAAAAAATTCCTTTAGCACACAGAATGTGTGGTTCACTTTTATGAGCAGTAAAAACATATGTATAGTAAACTCACCGGTCGTGGAGATTGCCTTCTTGGACAGCGTCAATTCTGCTCGGCTACGAGGTTTTAGGTTCTGCCCCTGTTTTTTTATCTGCGACACAGTGCGTAGCATCGATGGATGCCGCGAGTTCAGCCCGGATGCGATCTCCTGCCATGCTTTCTCTTTAGCAGCTTCTGTAATCTTCAGTCAATGCGAAAACGTTTCAACTTAACTTCCATGCCGAATTCCAATCCAATTATTTTCCAGGTGTTTGATTTTAGTGTTTTCTTCTTGTACTCCGGATGCCATTTATTTTATAATAGAGCCTTCCCCCAGACCAAGAAAAATTTTCAAACTAAAAGAGGGACCGGGTTTTGGTTCGCACAACATTTTTGGCGCCTGCTCTCTGTTTCGTCTGCTTTGTGCGGGAAAAACGGGAGTTGCCTGCGAGTATTTCCCCGTCATTTTCGTCCGGAAACCAAGCGTATCTTTTCAATACAAAAAGCAAAAAAAAAAAAAAGATAAACATGCGTTTTCTCTCAGTGTGAATGTGCCTTGACAGAAAGAACCATTCCCACTGGCAAAAAAAAAAAAAAAAAACGGATGGAAGCGGACCTTTGCACGACATATGACAGAGTTGCGTCGTCTCGCACGTTCTAAAGTATCCTGCTTGAACACCACCTGACAGGCATACAGGAGGCTATGCTAGGGTCGACACCACTTGTCAATTTGCTTGCCCGGGTGACATGAACAGACACAGCAATGCTGCGATCATGTGACTGATTAGCTCACTGTCCATATCCCGCACACAGACCACCACCACAAGGAACTAGAGGCGCGTTCACAACGGCAAGTTGCAGCTGTCGTGTGACAACTTTTCTCGCAAAAGTGACTAGTTAGGAGAAGTTGCTTCCAGAAAGATTTTAGCGACCGGTCGGCGAGTCGCATGGCAGTTGAACAAATCAGTGGTGCCTCGAAAGTGACATGGGGTAGGTCTTGCGTTCATTTATATACGGCACGCCAAGCTTCTGTGGGAGAAGCAACCAGCATACCTGTCCAACGCATCCGTTAACAGTAGCGGCCGTGGATATGGAGCCACGGAGGTGCCTGCGGCGGCTCTGGTCAACACTATTAAAGAGTACCAATTTATTTATAAAAGCAGCATCCAGATTTGAGCGAGCGCACGAAAGAGAATGCAGCCTGGCAAGAGATCTTTGCCACTTTTGTCTTCGCAGGTACGTACTGCAACGAGGTAGCTCGAGTGAGTGGATGCAGACACGTAGCGATTGTGCTTCTTTGTACGGTTCAGTAGTACCCAGGCTAACATAACGAGTCTTTTTCACATGGGAACGACGACGCATGTGTAGCTGTGAGACAACGAAAATGGGAAAGCGGCGAAACGCGAACCCGACTTCTGGCGGGGAAGACAAAATCGACGGTGGTTCCCGGTAGCTTCCGAGAGGCGACTAGACAATACTGGTCATGGAGGTCTCTGCGGCGGCTCTGATCTGCTCTGATCAGAGCACCCATATTTTTATAACAAGCAGCACCCCTATTCGAATGAGTGCCCAAAAAAGAACTCGGCCTGGCAGCAAATCTGTGGCTTTTTGCCCCACAGGCCCGCGGAAGCTCGAGCGAGTGCGCGTTAGTGTAGCAGCCGTGCTTTAATTGTACGGTTCTGAAGGTGCCAGGCTAATGCCAGAAGTATTTCTTTTGTGGCGAGAACAACAGACTGAAAACAATATTGGGAAATGCAGCGAAACGCGAACCCGAGCTGTGGCAGTAAGGACGAAATCGATGGCGGCCGTGGCGTTCACACGGGCAAGTTGCAGCTGTCGCGCGGAACTTTGGTCGCAAGTCACGAGAGCGACAGGTTTGGAGCAGTCGCTTGCAGACTGAATTTTGAGACTTGTCGCCGAGTCGCCCGGCAGCTGAACCAATCAGCGGCGCCTCGGAAGTGACGTAAGTGCGCCTCGCGTTTGTTTACATCCGGCACGCCGAACTTCTGTGGGAGATGCAACCGTGTCCGTTGAACGCCTAGGTTCGCGGTAGCGGCCGTCGATACAGAGTCAAGGAGGTCTCCGCGGCTGCTCTTGTGAGTGGGGAATGGCAGCAAATCCGTACCACACCTTGACAGGTACGAACTGGGAACCGAAGTGCACTACGTAGTGCGTATAGCTTTACTCAAATAGAAAAGCAGCGAAACACGAAGCCGAGCTGTGGCGGGGTGCACTGAATCGACGGCGGCGCCCGAGCTTCCGATCTTCCGCAGTGTGAACACCGGTGTGAACGCGCCCCCAGAGTAGCCGATCGTCTACGGACGATCGGCGACTCGCCGATAGCGACTCGCCGATCGTCGGCAGTGTGAACCAATGAAGTGAACGTCGGTGTTCGCTAGTCGCCAGTGTGAACGCGCCGCAGAGAGATTTTCTAGAATCTTTTCTTACCTGATAAAGTTGTGATCCTCAGCTCTCCCCCGCTCAGCTGCATTTCCGGTATTTGCCCACTTTTCTTCTTTTTATTTTTCCAGCGTCACGAAATTGTAACAGAAAACCTACGAAACACAAACAACGCACAGATCACAACGTGGCTGAATAACGCCAAAAAGTTTGTTTGGGTTGGCTTGGATTACGGCTCACGTCAGGTCGTGCACGGCGTGCACGGTGCGTGCCACCGTGCGTGCGTCAGCTGCTCAAAAAAAGACTGAATGTGGGGCACAGTCATTTAGGGTGAAACGTGTCGAACTTTCAATATTTTTCTAAAATAAATGAAAATTGGAAACGTATTTTCAGTGACTGGTTTCTGCTAATTTGACCGTTATTAGGGACGTTGCCATGGGTGGCGGTAGCTACCGCCCGTTACAAATAGTACAGACGTCAGCAACTACATCCATTCAGTCACTCGCTATGGTCACGTGACCAACGTGACATTGGCGGCTTTGTGCAAGTTCGGAGCACGTTTTCGCCACAGTGGTTGGCACTTTACTGTCAAGGAAACAGCGCACCCTCAAAACAGAGCCGTAAATATAGCTCAAAACAAGCACTCTAAAGGTTTCAAGCACACAAAGGAAAGAGCTACTTACACAGCGCTGTGTAAGTGGTTCTTTCTTTTGTGTGCATGAAATCTTTAGAGTGCTTGTTTTGAGGGTGCGCTGTTTCCTTGTCAGTCATGAACAACCAACTCGCCCGAACCTCCGTTTTAACAGGTTGACACTTTCCCTGGGTTTTAGTTTTAGAAGAGTAATGTGTGCCGGTTTAAATGGCGTAGAAACGACAGCAAGCCGCTCGTAATGTGTCATGTCATGCCACTGCTACAGGCTTGCGACAACAGCGTTCAAGTTCATGCCTCGTCGCGCAGAGGCTGCAGGAGCTGGAAGTTCCTCGGACGACCATTCAGGTGACACCCTTTTCTTTGTTACTTGTCAATAAGCTTCGTTCTGTTCGCGGCGCTTTGACGAGTATCAGGAAAACGTTTTCGAAGTCCTGATGCAGATTCGGGCGCGCTACAAGTTCAAGGCGTGCTCGCAAGTGTCAGTGCGAGCTCCTGACAGAAACGCTGTACGGTATGTAGTGGAACACGACACGCCGGGTCCGAGAGCCGTTGACGAAGAAGAAGCAGCTCGCTCCCGGCAGCTTTATTTATAGGCCGAGGCTACATCCACGCGCGGGGACGTAGCCAAGTCGGGAGGAGATAAGGCTCCATCCACGCCATAGAGTTATTATAATGTACGCTAGAGGTTCAAGTGGCGCTAGTGTGCTGACGCAAATTGAAGCAGACAGCAACCAGTCGAAAATTGACTTCCGGTAATGCATTTCTATGGGAAAAAGTGAGTGCATTTTCTCCCTGCGCTCGACCATAAGAGCAAATATCCTAAATAATGCGTACTTACTAGGTAGTTTGGAACATTTCTCAGTCAGGCCGACGAAAGAATTGGTCAGTTACGGCGTTTTTCTCTTGAATTTATCGCACTAAAAACGGTGCTAAAACGGCTTCGTACGTGCATTTATGTGCACTGTCGGACACTGTTAGCGCGAACGCGGCGTCGGCGATTTCCAGCATGGGGGATATACACGTCAAACGAATGAAGGACATCTGGAAAATCAAGAGCGACGGCAAGAACTACGCAGCAACACCGGATCAGTAACTCGCAGTGCATGTACGATCAAAATAAATTGAAGGCCACGTAATCTATTCCGATTTTAAATAAGTGAGTACCGCTTTATTCTTTCTGTCCTGAGCGAAGCTGCGTGTTCTACGTTCAAAATATCACCCGTGCGCTAGACATCTTTGAGAACAAGTGCGCGATAAAAGCTGCCCGGCAGAGAAAACAATACGAAGAGACACCTTTCATATCCCACGGACTTTATTCTCTACGTTGAAGGTTTTTGTCCGCTCATGCACGACGGGATCATTTTCATATGGTGACAGGACTGGCATATTATCAATATACAAGCGTCACCGGAATGCTGGCGAGCCTTGAACACACTCTATATTCGTTTCGATCGTAATTTTGCTTTGAATCGTCGCTTGTTTTTACACACCTGCTGCGGAACACACGTTTGGGACTGAAATGCAGCGAAGTTAAACATCGCTCACTGATGAAGAAAAATGCGCTAACTAAAGCAATTACACTTTTACAATATTAATTAAGACACATACTATTCGGTACGACCGAAATAACCAAAGTGTTCCATGTTATTTTCCTGCGAAGAGACGAAATGCACGCGCGTTTTCCCATAGGAATGCACAGGAGCACCGCAAAAGTAGACTGGTTGCTGTCTGCTTCAATTTGCGTCACGGAAGTCGCATAGACACTAGCGCCAGTTGAACCTCTAGCGTACATTATAATAACTCTATGATCCACGCAAAAGGTCACGTGACTTATAATATAAAGAGATAATTTGCTTTTGTGTACATATTATACCTTCTTATAAGTAAATATAGGATATAAAAATAAAGTGGTTATATTTCATTGTTGTTTTAAGGTTAATATGTCACGTGACCTTATAAATGTTTAGACAATTCATTAATGGTTTACTGTTTTCTAAGACTAATAGCAAATATGATGCATCATGAAAATAGTACCAATTGAGACGTTGCCTCGTCTTTTTCTACCTTCTGGTGTGTCCTCTTTTCTGCCCCAGTCTCAGGTTTACAATCATGTTCAATATATATCTTTATATTTATGTTGTCCAGGAGTCACACACACGTGTGGGCGGCGTGCGTGCCATCCGTGCGTGCGGGCGGTGCGGGTGCGGGTGCGGCCTCCGGGGCCTTCGCCCATGTGCGCATCGCTGCTGAGGCGAGGCGGAGAGGCTTCGTGGTGTGTGTGGTTGGCTTGGTTCGAAGCCTTTTAATGTGAGCTTATGTGTACCGAAGGGGACAAGTACGTGCCCACCGCTTCGTACGTTCTTGATTTGCGCGCACGCTTGCAATCACACAAAGATTGTGAGAAAAGGGAAAACATGCACTAGTCCCATGAATAACAAACATACTGAGAGCATTCAATCGAGAAAACTGGGTAAAAGATTCCAGAAACGGTTTATTCCATGACAAATAAGACAGTAGCCGATGCGCAGATGCCACTCGTCCACGAGATCACCGATGAACACGAAGCCCTGCTTGCGGCAGAACTCCTGCAGGAGCCAGTTCACGTCTTTGTGCCGATCATTCAACGCCTGGATATCGGCACTCTGACTACGCTGACACTCCATCGAAGAGAACCTGTTCCCCCGCCTAGGAAGGACGGAAGAAAAGGCGATCTGCATCGTCGATTGCGTCCCAAAATCTGAGCGGCCAGCCAACAATACTTGTCAACGTACGCGCTGGCACAAACGCTGGTGTTGTTTGTACCAAAATCGAGCAGGGCGTCAGACACCTTGGAAAACAAAGCCTCGATCCTAATGCCACTAAACGCCCGCACTTCGACAGCCTCCCGATTATTCGATGGGAAATACTAGGACAAGTATTTCACCGTCGAACCCCCAGCAACCAAAACTTGAGGCAGGAAGCGCGACCGTGCTAATACTCAAACGGCCAAGCTCCTTGTCCGAGAAAACAGAAGTAAAATAAAAACGCTTCAGAGAAAGTCAAAACCGCTTGCGGAAGACCAGGCAGGCACAGTAGACAGTAGTCCGCGCACGGCAGGAACGCAAGGTGCAACGGCCGCCAAGCAAATGGAAAAACAATGGGCGCAATGGGAGGCTAGACCGGAAGTTGATCGTAGTGCGCCGGAAGTGACGTAGTGCGTGGATGGAGCCTTATCTCCTCCCGACGTGGCTACATCCCCGCGCGTGGATGTAGACACTCCCTTATTTATAACCAACTTAACAAACACGTGGCGCCCTCTAGGTTAGTGGCGCTACTGTACATCTCTCCTTCTAACAAAACCGAAGATACCAATTACTTGGACTTGGGTTTGGGCTAGTTGGTTGTACATTGATAGACGTGCTGCGCTGCGAAGTTCTACAGAACAGACGCGTGACTAAGTTCTACAGAACAGACGCGTGAAAAAAAAATTGATAGACGTACTGCGCCCATTTGTGTTAGTTGTGTTTCTCCTCATCTCAATGTAAACTCATCCTTTTCATTTTCAATTTTTTAGTCACGCGTCTGTTCTGTAGAACTTCGCAGCGCAGCACGTCTATCAATACCAATTACGTCTAAAACCTAAAGCCCTAAAACCATCAACTCTTCCCAACACCACAACGACACTACAACAACACTACAACGTTGGAAAGAGTACACAGACCGTAGTTATAGGTCGAGTCTTTTGGGACGGACTATCGCCCGACCATGTCGAGACCTCTGACTGACGACGTCAGGGGTTGCTGGACGGCTGAGAGTCCGCTGCTGCAGACCAAGAGGTCCATAACCAAGTGACTTGTCCGACTCCCGTCGATCAGGAGGTTCTGGAACAGGCGCCACTGGAGGCTTGTACGGCACCAGATGCTTCCGGTTCCGCTGCAGAACTCCTCGGGGTGTCTCCACCACGTAAGAACGTGGTCGCTGTGCTTCGCTCAGAACCTTGGCACCGCACTGGACGTCCGTGACCCAGACATCCTCGCCTGTAGCGAGTGGACGCAGTTCCTTCGCCGCATGTCGACGATTGAAGTCGGTGGCCTGCCGACGCTTGTCTGCCTTGTCCTTGTTGAGGAAGACCTCCGTCGATGGCCACTCGGGTCTCAGCTTTTCCGACGGCTTCGGTAAGCTGGTCCGCAGCCGTCGACCCATCAACAGCTGTGCGGGGCTGAACCCAGACGGCCCAGGGGTGTCTCTGAAGACCAGTAACGCCAGAAAAGGGTCATCGTTCTTGGAGAAGAGGCCCTTGATCGTCCGAACTGCGCGCTCAACTTCCCCGTTGGATTGAGGATAGCGCGGGCTGCTCGTCATGTGCTTGAAGCCATAGTCACGTGCGAAGTCCGCAAACTCCTGAGCCGCAAACTGCGGGCCATTGTCGCTTCGGATGAGCTCTGGAATTCCAAAGCGTGCCACTACACTTTTCACCGCATCGA